GTGGTATAGCACTTGGTAGCGCAGTACATGATTCAGGGCTACTACATGTTATCGCCAAAACTATTCAGTCGATGACTAGTAATTTGGATGTATGGGAAGTGTTTGTAGTATTTGCTTTGTTGATTTTGATTGTGGCCACATTTATTAGCCATACTGTTGGAGCATTGATTATTTTGCCTATTGTCGCTGAGATTGGAGATGATTTGGGTGGTTCACATCGAAATTTACTCGTCATGGTTTGTGACTTTTAATCTGAATATTTTTGTATTGGACTATTAATTCACACCAATGATCTTAACGCCATAGTTGCTGTTATTTCAAAGCTAACTAAATGATTTTCTAAGTAAAATACTCGGTCTCAAAAACCCTTCATTTACTATAATTCTAACTGATGACTTTTAGCATTATTCTAATTTCTAACCCTAAATTTTAATAGTGGATCTCACAAAAATATGTGTATTGTTGAGATCACTGGTGTGATTTAGCGCTACTGTTTAGCAAATTTGTTAATTTTTGGTTTTAATGCAGGGGTCGGCATTAATGTGTTCTGTAGCTATGGGATTACCAATATCTGGTTTTCCGAATATGAACGCGATAATGATGGAAGATGAAATGGGATTACGATATCTTAGTATAATGGATTTTGTAAAATCTGGTATACCTGGATCTGTTCTAGGAATGGTGACTATAGTTACGGTTGGTTTTGGATTAATGTTACTTGTCGGTTTTTAACTGTTACTTCGGTGGTTGCTGGTTATGTCGTTGACTTTTAAAGTATAAATTATTTTTAAAATAATTCCAATTATTGTTAATTAGTATAGTATTTAGAAAAAGCTAGTTTGTATGATGTGAAATCTTAAATATCTTTGCTGAAATTTGCTGAAATTTGCTGACCATACTTGTAAAATTAAATTAAATATAATTACAGTCGATTTCTTTATTACAGTGCAGTAGTGTTGAACTTATAATTTAAATTTGTTTATAATTTTGGAGCGGGGTGAAACTCGCGTCAAATTCTAGTAAAACCCGTTTGGATCATCACGTTAGAGTGAAATTCGCGTTAACATAATGTTTTATATTATAGCTGTTTTTATAATTCCTAAAACACCTGATAAAAATTAGCAGAATGATTTTTCGGCTAATTCGATTAAGTTCGTGATTTCGGCATGATTAGTACATAGAAGCTATTGTATCAAAACGTTCGTTTTGATAAAAATTGGTATTAAAAATTTACATAAAAAGACCATCTTTTGTGATTAATCAAAACTTTTTTCTTGAGTGATTTTATTATAAGCTTGCTAGTATCAAACCCTAATATATGTGCTAACCTTAAAGCAAATAACGTTTGAAAAAATTTTGTAATTTTTTTTGTATTAGAAAAATTTTTAACCAAATTTCTGCGACATGTGTATCCCTGTGGGCTGTATGCCAAATTTAGTACAACTTAATATAAACCATATAAAGTAACAGGAGGTATGGTGTACGTAGTTAAGAATTGTTATTAATAAAAGTTCTCAGAAAAGAGATAAAATTTATAAGATTCATACTTCATCATATGCACTTTAAATTTTTCATAAAAAGAAACGACTTTGATAGTAATTTTTACATTATTTTATTATCCGTTTAAAAACTTCGAAAAAGTTAAAATTTTATATTTGGAAGGTAATGTGGCGAAACTGTCCTACCTAAAAAATTTCGCACGACCAATCAAAATTTCGCGATCATCCAAAATTTTTAATTTCTAAATTCTAGCGAAGGTTTCTCAATATCTACTTGACCAATTTTTTTATTTTAATTCTATACTTTTGCAGAATCAAAATAAAAAAACATTTATTGAATTTGGTTTAGTGGTTATCAAGATATCTTTGCTAAAAGTTTAAAAAAATTAGAATATCAAAATTGGATAATTATTTTTAGAAATTGATATTTATACCCTCATTTTTGATATTCATACCCTCTATTAAACAAAAAGTGCTTCAAAATAAATAATATTATTAAGTAAATCTCTTTAGTAGTCTTAAGTAAAGTTTTTATACTTTTCTGATTCTAGTAGTAGCAAAATTATTAAAATTGGATTGGTAGTTCTTATTTAAAGTTAACTAATATTTGCTAAATTTAAATATAAATAACTCAAGAATTTTAAATTAAATTTAATAATTTTACTATTATTAAAATCAAAAAGTTTAGGGTGTGGTGATTTAGTAAAGTGGTTAAGTTGTCATACCCCCAAGTGATATGTTAAATAGGTAGAGGTTTGAAACCTACTGGCGACGAATTTCGAATATTCTATCTATACAATGGCTACTGTCTTTTGATGATTGGTTGGAACAGGATTTCTGTAACCTTGGTGGCACCAACAAGATTGGAAGATCATGGGACACTCGTGTGATGTATGAGTTACATGAAAAAAGTTTCAGATCATTGTAAACCCAAGGAACCAGAAAGATGGACGCTCACTTGGCAAGATCCAAGTAGAGAGGTAGCACAGATCTTTGACGGTATTACGTAAAAGATTATCACCGGATAATCGGCAAAAACTGAACGGGACCGGTGTATGGCAAGGCACTCCACCAACCAGGTCACCAGAACTGAGTTTGTCAGAACCGGAAGAAAAAAATCTGTTTAGTTGCAAATACTAGGGTAAACCCTTTCTGGGCCATCTGAATTGGTAGTTTGGGATAGTTGGAGACACAGTTGAGAGTCTGTAAAGTAGGTACTGGGTTTGGGTGAACTCTATAAGGGGTAGTAGGTAACTGGTAGTGGCTTCATGCTCGCAAATACTTGTCCTCAGACTCGGCGTAAAGTTACTAAATCTAGGTGAATCCAGATTGTGGGTTCGGACCGCTCTAGTGTCGATCCTTCGAGGATAAATTAGTTCTAAAGATAACGGAGATAAAGCATCTGGAACTTTTTGACTAACAAATGTAACGGAAATGTTCTGGTGATACAGGTTTAGCTATATTACAAAGAGGTTAAATAGGTAACACCCATAGTTGGGTTACAGGTACGGCATCTAGTGTGGAACCTGTATAATGTACAGGCGGACTACTTAAAATAGATACTAAAAGTATACGTGTGGCTAGTATATATTCTCTAATATAAAGGGTTCCTTAAGAGAACCCTTCGCTAAATATATTTAAATAAAAATCCTAGCTCTCAAGAGGGTAAACATTAAAAAAAAAAAAAAATCAAAATTAAAAAGTTTAAAAAATAATTTTGTTTAAGATTAGTGAAAAGGAGTATAGAAAATATATGTATTTTTACAAAAAATCATAGATTATAATATTCATATAATTGATTAATTTATATAGATCTAAGTGTGATTAATAACCAATTAAATTAATTAAAAAAATTCTTTCAATATATTAAATAGAACAAAATAACTCATTAAAAGTAAATACTTAATATATCAAATTAAAAGCTATAACTAGTAGTAAAAAAACATGAAGAGAATATATATAGTAATTACTAGAAATAATTAGTTAAAAAGTATAAAGCTAAATAATATATATATGAAGTATAGACTATTCTAATAAGTTTAGGTTATAGATAAATTAGTCTAAGTTTTTGTAGTTCATAAGTTAATATATAGTTGGGCCTCCCTAAATGCAACCTCTCTAAATGCATATATATGAAAAACCTCCCTAAATGCATATCTTTTCTTGGGCCCAACTAATATAACACTTATAGATTTTTAACTTCCTAAATGCATAACCTTTTTAAATGCATGCTTAACTCAATTTTTTACTATGGTCCCGATGCCATGTATTTAAAGAAGTCTGACTGTATATATAATTATTATTTTTTTTTCAGTGTTAAGGTCTTGCTTTGTATCTTTATTTAGATAATTTCAAGTATTTGTTTTATATAGCTACATATCTAACTTAAGAATACAAACTTAGACAATCTTATCTATAATCTAAACCTAACAGAGTATATTATATTTTCACTATGTATTGGGTTATACCTGGATTTGGTATTCAAACTATATCTAGTTACTCACCATATTTACTCAATATCTCATCATCAAACCTTAATAACTTCTAAATTAGTTCATTCAGGTAATTGGTTCTTAATAGCCTCCTAATTTGGTATGTCTGTTATTTGGTACTTGTTTAAACTAGTATACTTTTTTAAAGATGGTCTCTTATATATGTTTTTTAAACCAGATACCTGCTGTCACTACTAGTCTTACATAAGAAGCATTGGTATTATATATTGAAAAAAGGACTTATCAAGTATTTGTGCAATCTTTTGTTAGCTTGTATCTCTTTATACAACTTAACATTGCATGAATACCCCAAACCTCTTACTTACTTTTTCAAGTAAACTAACTTTGTATCTCAAGCCAGGTTCTGCTACCATCACTAGTTTGTTATCCCTAGGTCTTGGCATTTTCTAAGTTATCTGATACAGTATACTTCTTACTACTCCTTTAAGTATTTTCTTATATAGTATTCATCAGAACTATGGTTTGTAAAGATTTTTTGAGTTGCACAACAACTATAAGGCTACACACTCCTAGCTATTAGCTATATTTGTAATTTTGCTTTAATGATCTATCTTGTTAAAGACCAGCCTAATATCATAAGATTACTTAAGTAGCAAGCTAAATCACTTTTAGCTATTTCTAGTTAGTATTGTATTAGTGTTAGTAAATCCTAACTTTTTTTTATCATAAACTTCTATATAGGTGTGACCAGAGCTTTGAATTGATACTTTTAGACAGAAATATATATTTTTGATATCCAAAATCTTTTTTGGCATGTCTAATGTCCGATTTGGTATTCAAACTATATCTAGTTACTTACCATATTTACCTTATATCACATTATCAAATCTTAATAACTTCCAAATTGGTTCATTCAGGTAATTGGTTCTTAATAGCTTTCTAATTTGGTATGCCTGTTATTTGGTACTTGTTTAAACTAGTATACTTTTTTAAAGGTAGTCTCTTATATACGTTTCTTAAGCCAGATACCTGCTGCCGCTACTAGTCTTATATAAAAAGCATTAGTATTATATGTTGAAAAGAGGACTTATCAAGTATTTGTGCAATCCTTTGTCAGCTTGTATCTCTTATACAACTTAACATTGCATGAATACCCCAAATCTCTCACTTACTTTTTCAAGTAAACTAATCTCATATCTCAAGACAAGTTTTGCTACCATCACTGGTTTGTCATCTCTAGGTCTTGGCATTTTCTAAGTTATCTGATACAGTATATTTCTTACTACTCTTTTAAGTATTCTCTTATATAGTATTTATCAGGACTATAGTTTATAAAGATTTCTTGAGTTGTACAACAACTATAAGGCTACATACTCCTAGCTATTAGCTATATTTGTAATTTTGCTTTAATGACCTATCTTGTTAAAGACCAGCCTAATATCATAATATTACTTAAGTGGCAAGCTAAATCACTTTCAGCTATTTCTAGTTAGTATTGTATTAGTATTAGTAAATCTTAACTTTTTTTTATCATAGATTTCTATATAGATGTGACCAGAGTTTTGAATTGGTACTTTTAGACAGAGATGTATATTTTTGATGTCCAAACCCTTTTTTGGCATGTCTAATATCTAAATATCTAAGTGTCCAAAGCTCATCTAAGCTTTAATAATTAAAATTTTATTTTAAAATAACATAATTATATATTTTATTTAATTTTAAACATTTTTACTTAAAAAGTTAAAATAGGTTGTCTTAATAAAATCTTGAGCAATTTTAA